TTAGGGTTGAGGGTCTGGCGGGCATGTACATCTCTGTGGGAAAGAGTCAGGACACTTTGAAAACCACCAGTCAAGTGCAGTTGAGGGTAAGCTTTCAAGCCAAAGCCCTAAGCCTAAACCCTAAACCCAAAGCCCTAAACTCATGATGTGCGAAGCCAGACTTTGACAAGGTGCGCAGGGCACTTTGGATGTAATACTGAACCCTAAACCCTAAACCCTCAAGCCCTAAAGTCCTAAGACCCTAAACCCTGGCCCCTAATATAATGGCCTGAATCTTTACTCCCTAGCTAAATCCTGCATAGGACACAAGAGCCCGATAGTGGCGCTAGACCCAGGGATACAAGGGGGCCGCGATCCTGAAACCTAAACAATAAACCCTAAAGCCCAAAACCTTCAACCCCGAAACCCTCAACCCCTCAACCCTAAACCCTGAACCCTCTTAGCCCCCAAAACCCTCAAGATGGCCAGGGTGAAACAGCTAGAACACCGAGATGGGAGCTAAAGCCGAAAGACTAGGCTTTCGGCTGTGGGGATTGGAGGGTAATGTAGGAACCTGATTAAGAAACCCTGGCCCTCTAACCCAAATATATCAGGATTCATACTGAGAACCCTTATAAAGACCAAGGTTTCTTAATCAGGTTCCCATATTAGGGCTTAAGGTTTAGGGTTTAGGTTAGGAGCGCTGTCACGAGCACAGTGCTACCTGGCGGAAGAGTGGCTAAGGCGTTCTTGCTTGCAAGCCTGCAGCAAAAATGTTTTAGTGCTCAGGGTTCAGGGTTTACGGTTTAGGGTGCAGGGTTCGGGGTGTAGGGTTTAGTTCAGTTTGCACTACGGTTGAAGGTTCAGCGCTTAGGGGGAGATTCCTTTTCCCTGTGTCGTCCTGCATGGGATGCATGCCGATGCCCGGATGGACCTGCAAATTGCACCCAGAGCCCCAGGACTATGGCGCAGTGTGAACCGTTTTCCATGCGTCTACGTTTCGTACACTAGGCCTCTTAGACGCTTCACCCGGAATCTTGCAACTTCCCTGCACCTCACAGCCGTAAACCCTAAGCCTAAACCCTACTGCTTCAAGCCTTCAACTCTACCGCCCCAAGACAGCCTTAAAGCCAAAACCCTGAAGCTGCGCTGTCCTTGAGACCCTCGGGGGACAAAGCTCCGCGGGCAGATTGGGCCTGGGTTCTGCTAGGTGCCTGTGGGATGCCAGGATAGGTGAGGCCAGATCTCAAGTAGTCTTTGGCCTCTGTGCAAGTCAGGCCGCTCAAGGAGGTTTGGGGGGTTTGGGATTCGGGGAGTTCAGGGTTCAGGAGGTGGCTGGTTTCGATTGTGGGGTGTTGTTGGGGGATGGGCGCGGTAAGTCTGCAGGACAGACCCCGCCTAAACCTCGAACTCCGATTCGTAGACTCAGACCTCTAACCCCGAGCACCTAAACCTCCAAACCCCAAACCTTGAACCCCTAAATCCTAAGATCGCTAAATGCCCAAACTTGTCTGCTGCTTCATGCTCTTTTTCGAACGTCCCATGGGGAGGTTCAGGTTGGACATTTGAGCTGTATCCTTATTGAAAGCAGAAGCCCGACGTTCAAACCCCCATGTTATGTCCCAAGCCCTAAACCCTGAACCCTAAACCCGAAACCCCAAAACCTAAACCCCTCAACCCTAAACCCTAAACCCTAATTCCTAAACCCCGAAACCCCAAAACCCTAAACCTTAAACCGTGAACCCTAAACCCTAATTCCTAAACCCGAAACCCCGAAACCCTTAAATCTTAAACCCGGAACCCTAAACCCTAATTCCTAAACCCGAAACCCCGAAACCCTAAACCTTCAACCGCGAACCCTAAACCCTAATTCCTAAACCCCGAAACCCCTAAACCCGAAGCCTTAAGCCCTAAATCCTAAACCCTAACTCCTAAACCCCGAAACCTCGAAACCCTAAACCCTAAACCCTAGTTCCTAAACCCGAAACCCCGAAACCCTAAGCCTTAAAACCCTGAACCTGCAGCCCCGCGTCCGAAGTCCGAAACCCCCAGCCTTGACCCCACACACCTCCTTGGGATGCTGTCAGAGCTGAAACCACTGAACCCAGAGACTCCAATATACCTGAGTTTAAGGAATATAGGCCTTAAATTAGGGCTCCTTAAAGGGATCTATAAGGGCCTCTGTAAGGGTCTCTATAAGGGAATTAAGGAATATACCTTAAATCATATTAGGGATCCCTACTATTAAGGGGTATTGAGGGGTATTGGAGTCTCTGGGAACGTTCGGATGTTGGTGGAGTGCCGTTACATCCAAAAAGAAGGCCACCGGGCCGCGGTTTAGGGTTTAGGGTTTAGGGCTTAGGGTTTAAGGTTTAGGGTTTAGGGCTTAAGGTTTAGGGTTTAGGGTTTGGGGTTTAGGGCTCAGAGTGACTCTGAGTGTTCGGCTTCAGGGGCTTTGTCTCTTAGGGCTTCGGGTTCAAGGATTTTGGGGTTTAAGGTTCAGGGGAGTGGGAGTGCATGCAAAGTTGGGTTGAAGATGCAATCAGATTTTTTGGCTAAACCCCCAACCTTTCACCCCAAAAGCTCGGGTTTAGGGTTTAGAATTTAGGGGTTGAGTGCTAAGGGTTAGGGGTAGTTAAGCCCGAAACCGTCTTTTTCTCAAGGGCCCGATTCCTCTGAACCCGCAGTCCTAAAGCGTGTTCCCGTTAGAGTCTAAGGTCAGAAGTATGGTCCCCTAAAATGGACGTTTAGGACTTTCTAGGGTCCGTTAAAGGTACATATAGGGTATACAGCAGATGTCCCAGGGTTAAGGGCCCATACTAGGGGCCCATGGTTTCAACCTTAGATAGAGACCTAAACCCGAAACCCTAAACCCTAAACCGTGTCAGATGCATGGCCCAGGCGTGGGAACAATGAGGCATAGGCATAGACTTCCCTTGCATCTTCTTAGTACTTCTTAGTCCTAAGATGCCACTGAACAGTATATTCTGGGTAGTTATTGAGACTGCTGGCTTGAGTCAAGTTATTTTGGCGCTTTGTATAGTGACTCCAAAACCCCCGTTCATAAAGGAATATACTTAGTAACCTCATAATATAGCAAGGATCCTGTGTCATTTAAGCCGTCTTCCTTACTTGAGGTGTTTTTGGAGGCACTGGGTCACTGCCCGCCTGCGGAGTTATTCAAGCTGATCTCCGGCAGTTTCGCAACCCCAAGCTCTAGACCCGAACCTTAAACCCGTGAGCTTTCCCAGACAGCTGCAACTATTGCCCTGAACCCTAAACCCTATGGGAATTACGGGCCGTGACAAACCAGAAGGCCCCTGGCTCACTGGCCGCATCCTAAGCCCTCGACTGAGACCGCCAGACCTACTACCTTCGTGTCAGATGCAGCTGCTGTTTTTGGATTCAGAACTGCATCAAACTTAAAGTGACAGATTCTGGGCTTAGAAGCCTTGTTGTGTTAACCGGTTTGGCAAAGTGGAACAGAAGTGCTGTGTTGCAGCTTTCAGTGGATGGCCTTTGCAGCGATGGCAGGGTCCTGAGGATGCGTCTGCTCAGCTTCTTAGCCGGTGCTGTTCATGTCATCGCCTTTCGCTTCGATGCGCCGGCAAATTCCGACGATATCGTGCGTGCAGCGCCCTCCGCATGCGAGAAGAAACTGCAGATGCTCGAAGAGGAATTGTTGGAGTTCTGCCAAAGGGAGCAGGAACCTTTGAAGAACGGCGCATACAGCTGGCTCACACATGTCAGAGATGTGCACGCTGCAGAGATGGCCCGCAATGTCATGCATGCCCTGAGATGGGGGAAGCGAGACGCATCACATGGGCTACTATTCACCAAGAAGGCCTTCTACGACCACAATTCCACCCTGCTTCTTTGGAGCGGCGTATCCCCCTCATCTCGCGGCAAATGGTGCGCATCGCTGAACACGTACATGTGGCCTGGCAGATGGAAGTGTCCTGCATCACGGGAATTGTTCTGCTTGAATTGAGAGCTTAGGCGGGAATGCAGCTCTTGTTTGTCAGCCGATTCTGGCCCGCGCGATCTGAGGTTGCAAGCTGATGGCAATGACGACATGCAGACACCCTTCGGCAGCATTCTGGATAAGATCAAGGTCAGGAATGCTGATGAAGACTTCTTGCAAGGCTGTGGTTGGTCCCAGCAGGAGCCAATCTGGCAAGCAGCCTCCGATGCCGTCGTTTGGCGAAACGGAGATGCTCTTGTACGGTTCCTTGTGAACAAGCCCTTAAGGGGTACTGGGGCTCTCCGGGATAGCGTCTTTTTCCGGGCCGAGCTTCCGACCCTCGCGAGGTATCCGCCAATGGAGGGCCTTCGGGTGCTCAACGAACACCCCCGTGTCAGGTGCCACCACCTGATGCCAATTATAAAGGACAGAATTGAAAGTAACGGGCTTCTAGATGATTGGCGCAAGGTGAAAACCTTTTCGTGCGTAGACGTCGAGACCCCTCAGAATCCGTCAGAGTACCAGGAGCTAGACAGCAGGGCCACTGAGTTCTTGAAACCCGGCGAGCAGCCAGAGGCGGCATGTGCTATGGACTTAGTTGACTTAACTTCTCTAACAAAAAGATATAAGATCTGCCGTGCCAGTGGTCGGATTGATTTCAATGTCTTTCAAGACGTAGCACGGCAGCTGCCACAGAGCTACGTTCCCGAGATTTCGAGCTTGAGGCTACCCCAGCTGTCAAAGAACCTGGGTCCTTGTTGGATACAATTTTACATTTTTAGGGTTTGGGGCTTAGGGGTTTAGGGTTTAGAGTTTAGGGTATTTCTGTTAGAATGAAACCCTAATAAGGATTAAAAAATGATCATTTTTAATATGGCCCCAACCGGGAACCAGGAACATCAAGCAACTCCCTGTTTTCTTGCCAGACATTGTCGAGATGTTCGACTCGTCCATACCGTTGGAATTGTGTCTCTGGAGTTCACTCGAAATTGCACGAAACGAGGCAGGCGAAGCTTATGGGACTCATTTGGGCTTTCGTCCGACAGACTTGCGTGGCATGTGCCGAGAAGGAGCACACAAATTGCTGCCCGGGCTCCGCAAAGCTTTGGGCGACTCGGTTTCCCTTCTGCGGCAAGCTGCCGCTGGATCACTGCAGACCATGGGTGAAGCAGCAGCAGAAGCCGTGCCGGAGCTCCGAGAAGCTTTGCATGACTCTCGTTTTTTTGTTCGTCGGGATGCCGCTGTAGCCCTGGGCTCCGTCGGGAAACAGGCAAATCAAGCTGCGCGGGAGCTGCTGAAGGCAGCAGGCGACTCTGATTCGCGGGTCCGCAAAGCTGCTGCAGAAGCCGCGGATTCCATCGCCAAAGAGGCCGCAGACGCCGTGCTGCCGCAGCTCCGGCAGGCTTTAAGCGACGCTGATATGAATGTCCGCCGGGCTGCCGCTGGAGCTCTGCATTCCATGGGCAAAGGCGCACGGGGCGCCACGGCAGAGCTCCGGAAGGCTCTGGGCGACTCTGAATGGGAAGTCCGCATAGCTGCCGCTCAAGCTCTGGGGTCTTTGGGCAAGGAGGCGGCAGAATCTGTGCTGCCGGAGCTCCGCAGGGCCTTGGGAGATTCTGATCGCAATGTCCGTTGGACTGCAATTGAAGCCCTAGGGTCCTTAGGCAAAGGGGCAGAGGACGCCGTACCGGACCTCTTAAAGATTTTGGTCGACTCGGATGCGGAAGTTGGCAGAGCTGCCACTGATGCTCTAGGCTCCATCGGCAAGGAGGCAACAGAATCTGTGCTGCCGCAGCTCCAGGAGGCATTGCAAGACTCTCATCGCAGAGTTCGCGCTGACGCTGCTAGAGCTCTGGGGCACATCGGGAATCATGCAGCCGTGCTGGAGCTTCGGAAGGCCCTAGGCAGCTCTGACCTGATGCTCCGCCGAGCTGCCGCTAAAGCCATGGGCTCCGTGGGAGCTCCGGCAGAGGAGGCCATGCCGGAGCTCCTGAAGGCTTTGGACAACTCAGCCTGGCAAGTGCGCAGGGATGTAGCTGAAAGCCTGGGAAAAATCGGCAAGGAGGAGGCCATGCCGTATCTCCGGAAGGCTTTGGGCGACGCTGAGTGGCATGTCCGCAAAGCTGCCGCTGACGCCCTGGGCTCTATGGGCAAAGCCGCGACGGAAGCCGTTCCGGAGCTCCGGAAGGTTTCGGTGGGGGACGTACACCCTCGTTGCCGCAAAGCCGCCGCTGATGCCCTGGCCAGGATCTCCGAGGAATAGGCCGAGCCTTAGCAAGAAAAGCACCGGAGCTCCTGACGGCTTTGGACGATTTTGATCTAGGTCCTGCTACAGCCCTACAGGGTCCGTGGGCAAAGATGCAACATAATGAAGTTGGTCCGTAAGGCTTTCCCCCAAAACGCTTCTTGGGATTTTACAGTGGCTTCTCTCTAACCCTGGCTGGTGATGACATGCACCGGTGATGCAACTGTGCTGGTAGGATGTATGAATATGAATATACCCCGCCAACACGCTCTCTCATTCAAATGTTCCAGCCTCACTATCTGCATCATGCATCGGGGCTACTTTTGCCGGGAGCTCACACTCGACACGGATCACGTCGCACGGCCCTGCGCGATACTTCGAGGGTAACTTCGGGGCTTCAAATAATTCCAGTCGGACCAGTATCCCTTACAGTAGATTTTGAATCTAGTTACATTGCCACTCCCGCATGAAAACGGATTTCGAGGGTTGCAGCACCGCGCCCGCAGCGCTTCACGACAGATTCGACGTCTTGTGAGCTTGAGCGTGGCTCTCACCCCACGCCTGCAAGCATTAGCAAAACCAGCCCTAAACCCCAAACCCTAAACACCTACACCCTAGGCTCTAGACCCGAAACCCTGAATTCTAACCTCTCCCGGCCAGCGACTCCTTCAGCAATGCAGGAGGCAAGAAACCATAAACACAAAGTCCTAAACGGAAGTCTCGAGCCTTTAGCTCTAGGGTCTAGGGTTTAGGGGCCCTAAACCCTAAACCCCTAAGCCCTAAACCTTAAGCCCAACACTTAGAACGGAAGTCTTGAGCCATGCACCCCTCTCGGCAGCTGCGGCGGGGCGGCACAGAAGAGGAGGATTTCCAGGAACGCCCTCCTCCCCTCGTCAGGTTTGAGGGTTCAGGGTTTAGGGTTCCAGGGGCTTAGGGTTTAGGGCTTAAGGGGTTGCTGCAAGGGTGGCCACATGGGCTACTGATACCCGTGCAAGGGTGGCTAGAACAGGCTATAAGGGTTGCTTCACGGCTAGCACGGGTTCAGGTTTCAAGATTTTGGGCCTGGTTGTTCTGGATCTTCCGTTGGGTTCACGTGAAGTTCGGGTGGCTTTTGGAGACTCTGGGCTTCAGGTGATCGGTTTAGGGTTTAGGGTTAATTTAGGCTGTGCCGTCTTTGGGTTCATCAGGGTTCCCGGCTTATATGGTTGCCAGCGGATTTGAGGGTTTACAGTCTAGCGCCTGGCAGGCCCTAAACCATAAACCCTTAGGATTCAGGCTTTTGGTGCAATCTCAGGAAGCAATGCCCTTGAATAGCAGGGTCCTGTTCCATACGATGGCATCCCCGTTCTAGGGACCCTCTAACAGGAGACACCGGCAGTAAGGAAAGCCCAGACATCGAACTCCCACCAACCCGGGGCCCAACAAAGGGCAGCTTCCGAAGCCTTCATTCGAACCCCCTTACTGCGGAGCTTTGAATAATCGGTCGTAAAAAGTCCCAGCTTCAGGGGCTCCTTTAGGACTTTAGGGGTTTGGGGTATGGGGTCTACTTCTTCTAAGGCCCATGGAACTTCATGGGTTATCAATACGGTGGTTCTACTTTTTGCTAATTTTGGCCATAGCCAAGATCCTTTTAACCGTCTTACTAAGTTACTAAGTCCCATGAATTACCACTTTAGGGACCTATACAAAGACAATCAAAAGGAAGCTCCCCAATCTGGGGCTTTGTTAGGTCCAGGTAAGCCCTGTTCCTTACAGTCCAAAATGGGTTCTAGAAGGGCTTTGATACGGTTTTGTAAGGGTGTTGCAGTGGCTGTGTAGGGTCTCCTAAAGAGTTATCTGAGTCATTAGGAATAGTGTAACCTCTCGGCCTTACATAATGATGCAGAAAATGCCGGCACTTTATTTTAATTGTTCGGGCCTCTATATTATGGCCTACAAGGCCCTATGCAAGCAAAATGGCCCTTAGAAGCAAAATGGCCCTTAGAAAGTATTTGAAGGACTAACATGGGGACACTTATTTTTAAACCCTAAGCCCTAAACCCCAAACTCGAATCCTAAACACTACACCCCACATCCCAGCCCTTAAACACCCCTCAACTCTAAACCCAAAAGCCCCGCAACCCTGAACTGACGCAGCTGTCAGCGAACTCAGAGCTTGCTTTCGGGAGCCCCCCCTGCACCCGGATCATCCTTCGAGGCGGGGACTTTTTTCTATGTTATTACCATGACCAGTGTTTTAGGGTTTAGGGTTGTTTTTTCCTTGCATTTCCCAGCTGATCAGCAGAGTCTGGGTGCAACAAGGGTAGATTTTTCCATTATGTTCATGCTACAGATCGTGAAAAGAGTGGGTGTAGAAGAAATCTCAGGGTGGGGGCAGCGACTGCCTCGAGTTCCCCGCATTCTCTTCCTTTGACTCTCTGAATAACTGTTGATAATGTGATTAAAACCCTACTCTAGACATTAAGGCCGATGTATAGGTGTCCTGCGGCCTAGTACGTAGGGGCTTACAGTATTGCTGATTGGGATTTGCACACTGTTGTAGGGTATTCATTAGGTTTGTGAGGTTTGCACGGTTCTCACGAGGCGCTATCTGGGGTTTCTATCTGTAGTAAGGCTTCATAGCATATGATCTTGTAGGCTCTTCCCGGGTCTTGGCTTCAAGGAGTTCTATGCTTGAGATCCCTTACAGAGCTCAGGCTCTTGGCTCGTGATACGCTCCACAGAACCAGAAGGCATGGGCTCAGCTTCTGGCATGTTTGTGCCTGTTTCAATCACAAGATGACCTGTCCTAAGACCCAAAATCCCCAGCCCCGAGAAACCCCCCAAGCTGTTGCCAAAGCCTGAGCAACAAACCCTACACCCCAAACCTCAAACTCCAAACCCCTAAACCCCGAAACCCCTAAACAGTAAGCCTGTTCTTGCTAGCCTCCGGCCCCCTTAAACCCTTCAAGTAAGCCTGTTCTTGCTAGGCCCTGGCCCCCGGTTTCTAGGCCATGCCCTGCCTGGACCCTAAACCCTAAACCCTAAACCCTAAGCCCTAAGCCCAAAACCCTAAACCCTAAACCCTTTAGGCCATGCCCTGCCTGGTGGATTTCTACGACTGCCTCCGCGCCTGGGCCAACCCGAAGTCGGTGGGCTACCCGTTCCTCGGCTCTGGCGGCTCTGGGTGCTGAAAGATCCGAAGCTGAGGCTTTAGGTTTAGGGGGGTTTTGGGCTTAGGGCCTTAGGGGTTTATGGTTTAGGGTTTAGGAGTTTAGGGCCTTAGGGTTTAGGGTTTAGGGCTTAGGGCTTTAGGTTTAGGGTTTAGGGCTAAGGGTTTAGGGTTTAGGGCTTAGGGCTTTGGGTTTAGGGTTTAGAGCTAAGGGTTTAGGGTTTAGAGCTAAGGGTTTAGGGTTTAGGGCCTTAGAGTTTAGGGTTTAGGGCTTAGGGCTTGGGGTTTCATAAGGATGTCATAATTGATTTTCGCTTACGGTCACTGGGCTTAAGGTTTTGAAAAGGGCTTCATGCTTCTTGTTTGTTGTATGTTTGTTTTTGAATTTCCTTTCCGGTTTGGGTTTGTCAGGATTTTCAGGGGTTTGCCTATCGTGTCGAAGGCTGATAACTTTCTACAGGGGTTTCTCGGTGCAGGGTAGATTAGGTGAGTCCGCGAGAGAGAAAGGGTAGATCAGGTTAATGAAGTGCATCTAGCCTGGACATGAGGGCATGTGCGCTGCAGCGCCTCTTCAAGAGCAAAGGTTGTCCAAAGTTTAGGCTAACTAGTTGTTTGTGTCGTATTACTCACTGTTTTACAGTGCTGAGCCTCCGGTGCGTGCCATTTCATGAGAGATCTCGTTAAACCCTCGTCCTTGTGCCAAAAACTTTTCCTTACCAATCGCGGAAGCGCAACCTAAACCCTAAACCTAAACCCTCAGCCCCACCCCACACTAAACCTTCAGCTGCAAAACCTGAACCTTCAACCCGAACCTGTAAACTTTAAACCCCATGCCCTCAGCCCCAACCCCCCCGCCAACCCTAAACCTTAAACCCTAACCCCCAAGGCCTAAACCCTCTGTGGAAGCCCTTTGAAGCCTTCTCAGCCCTTATAGAAGCCATAAAGATCCTTACGGAGCTCTTTTAAAAGTTGTTCTACAGCCCTTAAAAAACCTTATCGAACTCTTCGAAAACCCTTTTTTGAAGGCTTTTTGGAGTCCTGACTTCCAGGCCCTGGCGCAAGGGCAAGCTGGACTGCCATGAGTGCCTGGCTCAGGGGTGGATTTCTGCCAGTCCTCCTTTGGGTTTAAATCTGCTGGGGTGTAGGGTTCGGGGCTTCGCGGTACTTCGGAGATTCATATCGTGACTATCGTGACCGTCGTGACCGTGGTGTTTGTGATTTTGCTTAAGATGCGCTTGAAGGGCCAGGGTTAGGCAGACCACTTACTGTCTTTGTAGTGTTCTTTGTGACAAACAAGTGAGGAGTGCAGCATATGCTCCTTGGTATCCTTAGGCTGACTTAGGTTTTTCAGACTTTTGAAACTTTTGGGACTTTTGGATCGGTGTTCCTACCGCATCTTCCGATGTGCTCTAGAGAAGGAACATGCCTCGGACCATATTGGGGCTCCTATTGTACCTATTCCGCAGGTATATAGTTCCCCAGGCCCCTGAAGCACCGCATTCCGTATCCCTTTCAAGGCGCCTGTAGAACCCTTGTGGAAACACCAGAAGACCTCCGTAAAACCCGGCCAAACTCGAAGCCGCTCATCCAATGTGAACTCTCTGACTTTCCCCACCTCAATTTTAGGAATATTCCCTAAGGAATGCCTGAATTACCAAAGCAACCGCTCTAAGAAACCCTTGATCCTTGACATGTCCAGAGGCATGAACAAGAGAAGTGGCGGCTAGTGGCCTCTATCATTCGTTATGTGTTGTTTACACTCTTGAGTACAGGGATCTCATAATGTGTGTCGCATCGTGATCTTCAGTTGTTGGGGGGTCTGGGTTTCGGCTTGGAGCTTGCAGTATCACGACTCACGACTCAGAAG